GCCTCTCCCTATTACTCAAATGTCACTTCATCCTTTAGTTCACATCGTGGTTACGTGTCAATATTGAGGTGCTTCGAAAAAAAGTGGAGGCCACCATTGCTAGAAGAAGAAGAAATGATCCGGAAACTAGAGGTTACTATTACATCGCTCCTAGAAAATCAAAAGTGGTTGGAGTACCATAATTAGAAGCAACTTGTGATAATGCGACGGATGTTACCGAATATGCAAAAAGGTAATTCACTCATCAATCATTCGACCGACCAACATACGTTGGATGAAAAATACTTATATGTGACATGTAACCCCTTCATCACACTATCCTTTATTTTTATCGCTTTTATGTTTTATTTATTGAAATATTAATACTCTTTAATATAATTTGGTGTTTGAATATATATATTCGGTTGGATTAGATTTTATATATTATAAATGAATCATATTTTCTATAGTTATATTTCATACCGTCATTATAGTTGTTAAATTAAATTGGATTTTATATTTTTTATTAGCAACATATGAACGACGAAATAATTGACTAAAAATATTATTAAAAAATTGATTTAGCAACGGTTTAAAACCGTAGCTAAATCCAAGCTAAATTTATCCATAATTAGCAATGGTTTAGATAAACCGTCGCTAAATAGAAGCTAATTTTAGCAATGGTTTTTTGAAAATCGTTACTAAATTGGCGACATTTTTTCCTTTATCTAGGGACAAATTTTTTATTTTTCGGTGATGGTTAAACCGTCTCTTAATTAGCAATGAAGTCATTAAACCATCGCTAATTAATTATTGAGAAGCCTTTTAACGACGGTTTTGAATCGTCTAAAAATCGTCGCTAACTTAGATTAGCGATGGTTTAAACCATAGCTAAATAATAATTATTATTATTATTATTATTTTTTTTTTAGATGTTGAGTACTTTGAGAATAAATTCTTAGGAATATTGAACACAAAAATCAAACTCTAAACATGACCTACTAATCTACATTTGTTGATCAGCATGCTACCACTTTGTGGTTTCTTTATTTAATTATTTAATACCAAAAGTTTGAATTCAAGGTTCCATGTTGTGCTGGGCTATATGAGGACATAGAAATTGAAGAAGAGAGCAAGTCCCGAATCCCGTTAGGTGATATGGACAAGCCATTATAAGCCGAAATGCCAACATTAAATTAATTATTGGACTGAAATTAATTAGTTATAAGCTGTAGAAAACAAAGCCATCATGGAATATTGAAAACTTTTAATGATCATGTGAATTTTGTATTGCATTCACCACCTGCTAATATATGCCTTTTGAACAAAATATAAAGACGCTTCTCTATATTATCTCTATATTGTGACATGAGAAAAAGGAGAAGTATTAATGCATGGTGATGTTGTTGTCATGTCGATAGATGATTAATGCCATTAAAGCTAACTCTTAATTGTTTTAGTCTCACTCATCCTGATGAAACCTTTCCCTTCCCTTTTCCTTTCCTTTCCAAAGGTTTTGACAAATAAAATTCATATACTTTAATACCACTCCTAATCATGGCGTGTATTATATATTGTGCTATAATTAGTATCAAAGATATCAAGATTTTCCCTCACATGAGCAGCCTATCAAGCTGGGATTCTTGTGCTCTATCCATGTCTACCTTTACACCTCCTATCTTGCATGGACCCCCAACACCACCTCAAACGAACCAGAGAGAGAGAGAGGAGGTGTAAAATGGAAGCAAAGCAAAGGCACACAATTCTAGAGTGAGAAATGTGCATGGTGGGGTCAAATTTTGTGGAGTCCGAACTCTCTTTTGGTGCATGACAAAGTATGGGACCGCTCTCTCCCACCCAATAGCGATTGGGTCCCCTATACGGGCCTGGATGGAGACTACCACCTTTGTAAATTTTGCAAAATCACGCAATGTGACATGGGAAACATGCCTCAGTGGACAAGCCCCATTGGTGGGGTTCTACTGTCCCAAACCCCTTATTCTGTGTGCCCTTCTCTTCCAAAAGGGAGAGGTAAAGATGAAAAATAAAACGAGAAGCAAAGAGCCTCATTATCATACAAATTGCCAGGGAGACAAGAAGACACCAAGTGAGTCTGTGTAGCCATTGACTCTTTCCTTGAGAGCTCCCATCATAAGCCATTAATTATATATGTATAGAATGTGTTTTTGCGAGAGAGAGACACAGTAGATAGACTACAGAGAGAGCGATGATGGTGAGAAAAGTAATTGACTTTTAGATTTCACAAGGTTGACATTTGCCATAAAGTGTTTTGTATCTTTACAAAGCATCCAAAGCTTAAAACATGCACTCTTTCAAAGTTGGTTCTCTCTCCCTCTCTTTTTCTCTCTCTCTCTCCTTCTCTTGGATTCTTATGAGTGAAGGGAAAGAGCTAGGTGGGAAACACTCTCAAATTGTCACCAAAAGATATGGTTGGTTGGTGCTGGTCGACCTTAACCACAAAAGTGAGTTTTAGGGTTTTAAAAACCTGCCTTTCTGAGGTTTGAATTTGGGTTAACCTAGTTTATGTGCTCTATATATGCATGGGAACAAGAATCAGTTGTGCTTTAACCATGAAAATCAAATATTGATGAACATAGCTCATATGTAACATGAATTGAAACCCTAATATACTACAATTGCCACTTGGCACGTAGATGTCAAAAGGCATCAAGCATGCACAAAGCTGAGTTCATTATGACACTGCACATGATATATACCCAAAAGCATCAATATTTTAGAGATTACTTAAAATTTAAACTTTGACCACCTAGCCATACATATGCATAAGGAATGAGCTATCAATGGCCATTCTTGCTTCTGACTCTAAATATGAAACTAGCTACTAGCTATCTAGACAGGCAGAACAGCACTCACTTGCTGCTGCTCTCTTTTGCTTGCCATTTCTTGAATTTTAATCACTGGTTCTTATTGGCTCGAGCTTCTTTAGATTTATATCTACCAAATGTAGGTGCTACTTGGTATCATTACTAAAATAAAATGAATAAACTCATCAACCACTTTTTGCGAAAACGAAAGACAATATATATGTATAACTGTTTGCTAGCAATGTAACAGTTTTTTTTCAAAAAAAAGAAAGAAAAAAAATTGAAAAAAAGGTTCCCCATAACAAAATGACCATAGACCATAGTATTGTTAGATGGCTCGTGATGGTTCAAAAGAGAAATATAAGTGCTTTTTTTTCCCCCCTAAAGATGCTCTTCTGTTTTTCTCTACATATTAATTAAGGAGTACTATAATACTTCTCTGAGTAATTCTATATATATCATGTCTTTATTTACTAATTAACGCCTATGTTGCAATTACCATTTAGATCCTTTTTTTTTTTTTTCAAATGATGATAAGGTAGGCTTATTGTTGCAATTATAAAATAAGCTATTGATTAATTGAGAAAGTACTAAAAATTAATAAAGTGTAAATATTTATGATATAAATCCATGTAATTAATAAGGATATATAGATTAATTTCCTATCACATTAACCCTGAACGGAAAAGGGCCATTTGCAAAAATCATGAAGCAATCCAAGACAGCATAACACAAAAATAATATGTCTGGGCAGATTGGGCCTAAGCCACATTATCCGTAACTGTTAAAGGGTTACCTAAATTCACCACCAATTCCCTTCAATCCAATAGCTTATAAGAAGTCCATTCTTTAAGCTTAAGTAGTGTATCCAATCCGGGTCAAAAACCCACCCAGATTGCATGCCCACATACTAAAGTCCAAGCTCTGTCACAATCTCCCCCCCCTCTCTCTCTCTCTCTCTCCATGCATGCACATAAAGAATGAATACCCACAGTTTTCACATCCATCCACATCCCATACCCATACCCCGACCACCATCATCATCATGAAATACATACATATAAAAGTCCACAGTAACCCATACACGCATGCAATGCATCATAACCCATAAAATGCACTGCTGCTGAGGGAAGCAGCTAGCTAACAGCCTGCACAGTACAACAACTGTTTATATTGAGTAACTTTATATATATATATATATATATATATATATATATATATATGATGATTTATCTATTTTTAATTTGATGCCTTAGTTTAGACAGAGAAAAGATAGTTAATTAAAAAAAAGAAAAAAACCCTCTCTGCAAAACCTGCTATGCAATATTTGTCAGTCAGAATAAAGATATCACACGCACCTCTCTAATCCTACCTGCCTGCCTCAGCCTCTCATTTATTCCCTATCTCCCACCTAAATTTTACTACTTTTTTTTTCTTTTTCTTTTTGGTTTGGGCTTACAGTATAATAGTAGCGGTAGGGTAATCAACAAAATCCAGCTTGACCTGGCATTTCTTTTACCATTGCCTGTTTCTTGTATTTGTCTTTCTTTTGCTTTCTCTATCATATAAATTTTATTTACTCTCTCTCTGTCTTCCTTCAATTCATTTCAATTCAATTCAAAGCTCTTTCCTTTCTGTGGGTTGTTTTGTTTTGATTTTTTATTAATAAGAGCAAAAACCGAAGTAAAGAATCTCGAGATTGGCGTCTAAGATAAAGACCATAACAGCACCCTTCCCTTTACCTCCCTTTCTATTACTAGTTACTACTTGCTACTAGTACTGCGCTTCGGCTTCTTGATAGAGAGAGGGATACAGTTGTAGTGCCTACTGAGAGAGCAAACAGAATCATCAACAATACTTTCTTTCAATCTGATGAAGGAGAGAGGAGGCTCTCTTGGAAGAGAGAGCCTGCCTGTGGAAACCAACTCTAACGCAACCACTACTACTTCCACCACCAACATAGAAGAAGATACTCAAGAACCAAACCAAAGACACTCCCTTTTTCATTAATGAAGAAACATATTCCTTTTACTTGGTCAACTAGTCTTTAAACCCAAAAAAAAAAGCACAATCTGGGTTGTCTTTGTTTTCTTTTTATTTTTTTGTTAAGCACTTCAAAACAGTATCTGGGTGGTCGGTGTTGTTTTCTTTTATTTGGTGTTTTTGTTGCTTTATATGGCGCTTTCCATACACAATAAGGACAAGCAGATGGATTCAAGTAAATATGTGAGGTATACACCTGAGCAAGTTGAAGCATTGGAGAGGGTGTATACAGAATGTCCAAAGCCCAGTTCTTTGAGAAGACAACAGCTTATTAGAGAGTGTCCTATTCTCTCGAACATTGAGCCTAAACAGATCAAAGTCTGGTTTCAAAACCGCAGGTACATTAATAAATTAACAAACAAAGCTACATAACCTAAAATCCCTCTCACGCTGTCTACATGTTTTTCTTTTTTGGATCAAAATGGAGATCTGTGGTTTATTTCATTTGGATCCAAATGAGTGTTTTTTTATCTCCTCCCTTTTTTGAACTTTGATGTTGCTGCTGTTAATGTTTTAGATTTTAGTCACAAATGAGAAATGGTACGTGGGTTTGACACTTCTTTCTAGGCTTTTTAAATTGGATTTTTCTTTTTGGCTTTTAGGTTGTTTACTGCTCAAATAAGTTAGACACTTCTTTCATGTGAAATTTAATTGTGGCTTTAATGAATTATCAGGAGATAATTGGAAGGGGAAATGGGTTTGGCTCATTTATTCTTGGCTTCGTGTGAGAATTTGTTTTTCTTGTTTAAAAATAATGAACATTGCTGTGGGAGCGTTTCTAGAAATTTTGGGCTCGTTTTTTATTCGTTCTTCCCTTTGCTTCTAACTTTATGAAGCAGGGAAAGTAAAGTTTTGAGAAGAAAATACCAGTTTTTCTCTGTTAATATTTTCCCCTTATGTTTTCTTTGTTTTTATTTTCTTGGGCACATAAATTGTTGGTTAAAATATTTTCTGTTAATGTGCTTGGAGAGATCAAGTTTCGAAGGTCACTCCTTTCTTCTGAGTTGGTAATAAATTGATCTTTTGTTTTTTTTTACCTTTCTAGTAAATAGCTTCTGGTTTTTATGTTGGCTTTCACGGATATTCATAGTCACACGTGACATTCCTCGAGTAGTGTAATTGTTAACTTCTTTTATTGAATATTCTTTTAAAAGGTTTTTCTTTTTTGTTTTAGGTAATCTAAGTATCCCTCAATTTGAATGGATTATTAGTTGTTTACTGGGGACGATCTTAAGGATGTACCTTTCATTTCGGTTTGGTGCATTCAAGAGAACAAACTCCCCAGAATGTGGCTTTGAAATTGAATGGATGATAGTGACAGCTAAACAATACTTTCTGCTCCTGGTTTTCATTGTGTTTTGCCTTTTTTGTCCATTATTTCTGATTCCTTTGCAGTAGAGAGATCAAGGAGCGAATCTTTGTTGGCAGGGCAGAACTTTTTTCCTTATTTTTCGCATAATAGTGGTTCCGATATCTAATCTTCAGCTACATAACAAGACGGGGTGTTTTGGTGAGAAAAAAAAACAACAAGGGATAATGTGACATGCTTGAAATCATTGGTGGTGCTTGTCTTTGCACTTTTCTATTATGCAACTAAAATGCGTGTTTTTCACACAGCCATGATGAAGATATCATGTTATTTTTTCTAGATTGTCGTGACCATATAATTGTAAAAGCTCAGGGACTTTCTGAAGGTTTTTTGGAAATTTTGGATGCTGGCTTTTGGTTTTAAATGTTTGACATGAAACTCCAAGGAGTTCCTACATTTTGGGTTTATAAACTTTCCTATGTCCGTGCAAACTTGCCATGACCGTTACTATGAGATTTGTAAATGTGTTTGTGAAATTGATTTTTCGTGGAAATTGCTGCATTCTTTTGGTGTCCCTGTTTAAGAAGTTTGCTTTTTAAGTGTTGCTTGGTTTTTTCGTTACTCTATTTTGCAGATGTCGTGAAAAACAGAGAAAGGAAGCCTCTCGTCTGCAGACAGTGAATAGAAAGCTGACTGCCATGAACAAGCTGTTGATGGAAGAGAATGACCGTTTGCAGAAGCAAGTCTCCCATTTGGTGTATGAAAATGGATACATGCGCCAACAAATTCAGACCGTAAATCTCTTTTGCTTTGAAATCATTAAGTCACCTTGCAATAAATCTTATGTTATTCATCAGCAAATTACCTATAGCTCTCTTAACTTGAATGATATATTATACTACGGATGTTTGCTCATAATTTAATCAATAGTTTTGAAACTGTTAATAGTGACTAATGAATTACCTACTTTTGTAGTTTTACTTGTGGTAGATCATGAGTTAGGTTGTCTGTTTTATATGTTTTCTTGAAGACAAGAAATCATTAAGTTCATTTTCATGTACATGGGCAATAAGCCTTTATTTGGCTGATTCTACACAGGCATCGGCAACGACCACAGACAATAGCTGTGAGTCTGTGGTCATGAGTGGTCAGCACCAACAACAGCAAAACCCAACACCTCAGCAGCCCCAAAGGGATGCTAACAACCCAGCTGGGTAAGTAATTACATTTGCTTTGGATCAATGTGATCAAGAGACAATATGTTTCTCACTCCACGGGCTTTACTGGGTTTTGAACTCTTTTACTTTTGTTAGTCTTCTCGCAATAGCTGAGGAGACCCTGGCAGAGTTCCTTTCCAAGGCTACCGGAACTGCTGTCGACTGGGTCCAGATGATTGGGATGAAGGTAACATGTGTTGAAGTTTGTGTGATTCTCATGTGCTGTGTGTTTTTGCTTGTGTACTTTGATTCTAATTCTGTGGTAAAATCTGAATTCCTATGGCAATGTAGCCTGGTCCGGATTCTATTGGAATCGTTGCTGTTTCCCGCAACTGCAGCGGAGTAGCGGCACGAGCCTGCGGCCTTGTGAGCTTGGAGCCCACGAAGGTACATATCTATCCAAACAATTTAAATATTACAGCTTTTTTTTTTCTTTTCCTTTTTTATTGCATGTGATGAATCTGTGTCTGCTCAGGTTGCTGAAATCCTCAAAGATCGTACATCTTGGTATCGTGACTGCCGATGTCTTGACATATTGAGTGTGATTCCCACAGGAAGTGGAGGGACAATTGAGCTGATATACATGCAGGTTTGTATATTTGTTCTTTATGAAATAGGCATTGTTTTAGCCCCTTTCTGGGTCTGACTTCTGGATTAATTGTTTGTGCTATGTTGTTGATTAATCCATTTATTATGTTCATCAGACTTATGCACCAACAACATTGGCTGCAGCACGTGACTTTTGGACAGTAAGATATACTACAACCTTGGAAGATGGAAGTCTTGTGGTGAGTCATTAGATGTTTTGTTTTCTCTTTATTTTCTTTCTTAATTTAAGGTGTTTAAGATGTACAGCACTCACTTTTGTCATAAATTTATGCAGATATGTGAGAGGTCATTGACTACTTCTACTGGTGGCCCAACAGGACCTCCTTCTTCAAGCTTCGTAAGAGCTGAAATGCTTCCCAGTGGCTATCTAATTCGACCATGTGAAGGTGGTGGCTCCATCATTCACATTGTTGATCATGTTGACTTAGATGTAAGAATAAGATCTATTTCAACCTTTCCCCTATTGATATTTGATTTATTCACTCTATTTGACAATTTTAAATGTCTGATTGTAATGCTAGGTTTGGAGTGTTCCTGAAGTTCTGAGGCCACTTTATGAATCATCCAAAATTCTTGCTCAAAAAATGACCATGGCGGTAATTACATCATCATGACTGGGACCTTTTTTTCTTTGATTCAATCAAATATGTTTCATGTTTGTTTTGTGATTTGATTATCCAGGCGTTGCGGCACATAAGACAAATTGCACAAGAGACTAGTGGAGAAATTCAATATGGAGGGGGCGCCAGCCTGCTGTTTTAAGGACATTTAGTCAGAGGCTTTGCAGGTAAAGATATTCCAACTTAGCACTTGGTTACTGAGGCAGTACCAATCTGTTGAATTGCCAACCATCTAAATTGGAGCACGATCCCACTAAGTTAGCAGATTTAAGCTGCCTTGCTTGGTCTTGTGTAATTTAGAGCTTAAGAACCTGCAATGATTTTTAATCTTTGTGCTTGCATGAGTTCTGCTACTTTGTTAACTAGTTTGTGGTTTGGATTTCAGGGGTTTTAATGATGCTGTGAATGGGTTCACAGATGATGGTTGGTCACTTCTGGGCGGTGATGGTGGGGATGATGTGACTATCGTCATAAATTCTTCTCCAAATAAATTTCTAGGATCTCAATACAATGCATCTATGTTTCCTACATTTGGAGGAGGGGTGCTGTGTGCTAAGGCATCGATGTTGTTGCAGGTATTCTCTAGAAATCAGATTATTTGGGAATATTGGTGTTTCTGATCTGCTCCATTACCATATGAGAAAATCACTGCCCCTAAAATGTTATGGAATACCTTAATAAAATGATAACACATTTCTCTGCAGAATGTTCCTCCTGCTTTGCTTGTTCGTTTTCTGAGAGAACATCGTTCAGAGTGGGCTGACTATGGGGTTGATGCCTACTCTGCTGCTTGTCTTAAAGCAAGTCCTTATGCAGTTCCTTGTGCCAGACCTGGTGGCTTCCCTAGTAGCCAGGTCATTTTACCTCTTGCTCATACTGTTGAGCATGAAGAGGTATCGTTTTGAGTGTATTTATTTCCCTTTAGTTTCTTTTTTGGAATGTCTTAATAGTTGATTTACCATGGGATAATTTTGTGTTTCCCTTGTTGGTAGTTCTTGGAGGTAGTTCGGCTGGAGGGCCATGCATTCTCGCCAGAAGATGTAGCATTGGCACGGGACATGTACTTGTTACAGGTTGGTTTACCTGCTGTTTTTCACTGGAAACTGAAACTTGTTTTTTATTTTCTATTTTTACTGGGGATCTCTGTCCTAAATAATTGATAACATTTTTAAAATCTAATTTGGCAGCTATGCAGTGGAGTTGATGAAAATGCTGTTGGTGCTTGTGCTCAGCTTGTATTTGCACCTATTGATGAATCCTTCGCTGATGATGCACCATTGCTGCCATCTGGATTTCGTGTCATACCATTGGATACTAAAACAGTTGGGTGATCTCTGCCATAATCATGATTGTCTTGAATGGTTTGAATGTCGATTTGGTGATACTTCAATTTCTCTAATTTGTTTTGGTTTTCTTGTATCACAGGATACACCTGCTGCAACTCGCACTTTAGATTTAGCCTCTACACTTGAAGTAGGACCTGGTGGTGCACGTTCAGCTAGTGAAGCTGACTCCAGCAGTTATAACCTTAGGTCAGTTCTGACAATTGCGTTCCAATTTACGTTTGAGAACCACTTGCGAGACAATGTAGCTGCTATGGCTCGCCAATACGTCCGTGGTGTTGTGGGTTCTGTTCAGAGGGTTGCAATGGCAATTGCGCCCTCGCGGCTTAGCTCCAATATGGGGCCAAAGTCCCTTCCTGGCTCTCCTGAGGCTCTCACTTTGGCACGTTGGATATGCCGAAGCTACAGGTATCCTATCTTTTTTATTCATTTAAACATTTCCATTTTCTTCACTTTTAAATAGCAATATAAAAAATCAATGGTGAGATTTGCAAGTTTGAGTTCCTTTTTTTATATTGAAGATAAAATAACTTGTTGGAGTACTGCTCTCGGAGTCACTATAATGCTCAAATTAATAATAATCATTCACAATATGATGCGTCACTTCTGAAGTTGATATGTCGTTTCAATGGAAATAATTTAACCATGTATTTTGAATAAGAATGGTTAAAAGCAAGTAGTTCCTGGAATGTGTTGAACTCGGTGCAAGAGAGCAGAGTAATGGTAGCTTCTGCATAGTCTGAAGTTTGATTCCCCATCCTGTTTCTTTAATATTTGTTCCCTCATTTCCTTGGTCTTGTTCCTTTACTTTTTCACAATTTTGCTCTGGCCTATATTTCATAATCAATCCTGGTTATACTGAAGGATCCATACTGGAGGAGAACTATTTCGGGTTGAGTCCCAAGCTGGCGATGCTTTGCTGAAGCAACTGTGGCACCATTCAGATGCAATTATGTGCTGCTCCTTGAAAACAAATGTAATCACTCTTTTATTCTTTGCCTATTGATCAACTAGAGGGAAAAGTCTTTAGGTTCTGGCCAGGATTATTTGAAGGAGAATTAACATGATTGGATTAAAAATAATTGCAGGCATCTCCAGTTTTTACTTTTGCGAACCAGGCTGGACTTGATATGCTTGAAACTACTCTTGTGGCCCTTCAAGATATAATGCTTGACAAGATTCTTGATGAAGCAGGTCGGAAGGTTCTCTGCTCTGAGTTCTCTAAGATAATGCAACAGGTGAAATTCTCTATACCTGGAACGGAGGAGTAATTGAGTCGTCTTTTTGTTCTACTTCTACTCTTAAAATCTTATAGCCCTTTAGAGACCCTGAGTATGTTTTAACAGGTCTTGTGTGCTATTACACATTTCAGGGATTTGCGTATCTGCCAGCCGGAATATGCGTATCCAGCATGGGTAGGCCAGTCTCCTACGAGCAGGTCATTGCATGGAAAGTTCTCAATGATGATGATTCCAACCACTGCCTGGCCTTCATGTTCATGAGCTGGTCCTTTGTGTAATGGCTGAGAAAGATGTTTAGAGAACTTGGCTATCTATTATTAAATTAGTTACTATCTATTTAAGTTATAATGCCCTTCTTGTTATTCTCTTAAGACCCCTATGACTGATGTATGGATGTAAGTCATGGCAGAATATCATGAATACTTTTGGCTGTAAGTATGTTTTCTTAATGTTTTTGTGTTTCTGCTGTCTATCTCAAATTCAAATCTATACGTCAAGGTGTCTCGGTAAATCTGGTGAAATATCAAGTCATAGTGGATAATATGTTGGGAGTGTAGGGTGACACTAAAGGGACCACCTTCTGGTAGGGTTGTTGGATTGGTCTTGTTTTCAATATCTCAACCAACCTGCTATTTTTAGTTTATTGATCGAATTTCTTTGGGTCAAAACACGTCACAAACAGATAACGCACGCTGGTAATGTTCAAAGTAGCGCATGATGCCGTTATTGTTTCTTTGTCAAATGAGGTGTTGTGGTAAAATTTTATCAATGACATGCTTGATTAGGACTCTGGAAAGGTTTCTTGGCTCGAGTCCTATTTTGTGCGTTAGCATGCATATACGAGAGGAATATCTATAAAACCTGTGGCCAATGCTGCTGCTTTCATCAGCTATATGGTTGACGTATGTCATCGAGACTGAGAAAATGCTTGCACTTAATTTGTTCATGGGATTCTACTGTCTGGTTCGGTAAAAGTTTTTTGAAGTAAACTTTCATAAGCTATTAATTGGTGGTGTTCTTTAGCATCGGGAACATGAATGCTTAAGGCTTGTTTGGTTACCTTTAAAGCAGTGATGTTTGTCTGAAGTTAGCATATATATTTATGAAATCCAACTGGATTGAAAATTAATCCATGGTTTCATTTTTGTTATTTTTCATGGACATGATAAAGTATTCATTCACTAGTAAAGATAACGCACACGTTGATAATGCACTTTCCCAGGTTTAATATTGTTTTGTTTTTCTACACTGAGCTCGCTGGGCAAACTCCGTAAACTCTTATTACAGGAAAAGACGTTTCACGGTTTCTGATGGCTTGGCACGTTGAAATTGCTAGTGGGTAGGGTTGGAGCACACCCTGTGTGCAGCTTGTGTCAGCAAAATTACGGCTGTGTTCAAGAACGGATCAGTATAAATAAATGGCTTAGGAACGAAAGATCAAATCAAGATCCCACATATTTATCGAGTAAAAAAAAGAGCACAGATGTTGGCGATCATTCAATAATCCTGAAGAAGGTAGATAGCCTAACGTTCGTAGGGGCTAAGAAGGGGGTCTCTTATGGGCAGCAGCCAGAATTGTCAGCTGTAAGGAGTTGGGACCAAAGAGAGCAAACGAGAGGAAGCAAAAAATCGTTATTAAGAGGAGGAGTATCTACAGAAGAATGCAAAGGGAATTGTGACAAACAGTTAGGTTGGTAACAGAAAGCAAATCAAAACCAGCTAGATAGCTAGCTAGCTAGCCCTGCAATTTACCACCCAATATCTTTCTTATTAAATGATGGGATCTCGAAGCAAATCTATCCTCTCTCTCTCTCTGTCTCTCTCTCAGAGGATCACATTGATAAACACAAGCAAATGACTTTTGGTGTTCTTTCTTTTCCATGGAAAATATTTGCCCTCAACAAAAGTGATTGCCTGCATTAGTAGCAACTGTTTTGACACTTGGAATAGTCACATGACGAGTCTTCTGATAGCTTCTATCATCGCTGTAAATGGCAGGAATTAGTGCGGGGGGCATTAAATTAATCAAACAGTACCAGACTGTACCACGTGTCACATTGGCTTTCACAGCAGGTCACTGGTGTACGCACCTTCATGCTATTATTTGCAAATTAGATAAATCTTATACAGACTTAATAAAATATGATTTAGTCAACACTTACCCTATGATTTTATGCTTACAAGGTTATATGTATCAATCAAAAACAAGTAATATCAGTACGGTACGTTTTGATAATGATGGAGAAATTTGATTTTATACTAATGGGTGACTAATAACTTAATAGTAAGCATATCCTTATAGGACAGGCAAGTAGATCAGAGAGGAAGCAACATCACTATCAAATTAATTATTGTCTTTGCCAACTGAAAAAAAAAAAAAATGAAAACCTTACTGTTAAACATGTCGTACTGTAATCATAAAACTAAATGGTTCATCGGTTAAGATACATGATAAAAACTTGTGAAATTATTGTTCAAGTTAACCCTTCTATAAATGCGCATGAATTCCTTTTTTTGTCCATCCTCGTAGACTACCAACTATTTTCATAAATGTCGTTTCAGCTGATAATTATTTCATATATATATATATATATATATATATATATATATAAGGTAAGAATCCAAATTCTTTATCATCAATGAAGGTCAATTTAAGTGCTAGATTATTTTATAAAGTAGAAGTAGTAGCCGTAACAAGTCAACATAAATGTGCTGATCATGATACTTATTTTCAATTGGAGTTGAAATTACATGCAAAAGAAAATAGACAGAGAGACAGCCAGCAGAACAAAACACAAAATTAGTCCACCATTATATATATGATTGACGAAAAACCACAATGGTCGAAGGACCGCAACAGGGGGAATCGTTATTTCTGTTGGTACAGTTCAGTGTTGTAGGTCCATGGTACAAAGAATCTGCCCATCCCACAGCTTGCCACGTACGTCACTGCTTGTACGCACCAATGCAATTTTGGTCAAGGAAAGCGAAGCGAAGGGTGATGCCATAACAATACAAACGATATATATATATATATATAGAGGATATAAAAAACAATCAATTGTCAATTTTTTTGAAAATGAAAACAAAAGTGGTACTCAATTCAATTGAACAGCTTCTTGTACGTAATTTCCTTGTTTCTCACTTTTTTTTTCCCCAGATTCATGATGTACCATATGAACTGTTTACAAGAACCAAGCTCATTTATTAATGCATGGGATTACTTTGACAAATATACGGAAATCCAATGCTTACATAATTTTGTGAAAGCGTTGTCTTTTTTTGTGGTACATGATGAAATCATAGATGGTCTTAATTAAACTGAAGGGATGGGTCCAACTCCAATGTTAGCTCAGTAAAAAATCATGGGAGCTAAAAAGCCCCAACACTTTGTGACCAATCAGACAATGGCACACTCCGTTTCAGTTCATATACGAAGGGTCCCCCCGATCTCCACCTGCACGCTTTAAAACACCCACGTACACAGTACATTGCATATGTATATGTATGTGTCATGTATGATTGTACCTCTTCATCTTCATGCATGTTATGATGGTGACATTGATAATGATAGATGATGAACATAGCTGCATATACATAGGCATTTATGGACCCCAGCTGAGCCTGAGAGAGGCTATATCAAGGATCTAGGTAGGGTGGGGCTGAAAAATATAGGGGCAGGAGCAGGATTTTTGCCCTTTTCAGCGTTTGAAATTCGAGGCATTTTAAAGGTGAGTGCGAAAGGCACTGTATTTTCGAGGCTCGTGCTTTCTTGGCCTCTCTCTCTCTAAAATGTTACTGCTATTTTTTCTTTTCTTTTTTTTGTGGTGGTATGGTATACTTACCGTTTTCTAGTATCTAGAAGGAGAAAATATTTAATTTTGGTGAAATTCGATTGAGAGCAGAAAAAAAAAAAAAAAAATTAAACAACTACTGTTACTGTTCCCGCGTGGAGGTGCGACCATCTCTTTTAGGTTTCCTTTCTCCTTTTGTCGATTGTAGTATCATTTCATGCTTGCACTTTACTCTCTCTTTTTTCCTTGCCCAAGATTCAGAAATCAGCATGCTTTTAAATCCTTTTCAGGGCACGGTGTCACTGTTCCTAGCTAGCTCATTACATCACCCAAGAAAAAATCAATAAATAAAACCTCTCACATTAAAGTGCAAACATATTTAGCTTTTCTATGACCAAGAAAAGGCATAAACTCAATATGCTTCGTTAATAATAATAATAATAATAAAACTAGCGGTTAGGTTCTAGGTAGCACTAGTTTCAGTATTTAGTTTGTTCTTGTTTTTGCAAAAGAAAGAGATCTTTTAGGTATAAGATGCAGGCTGTTAGAGATTTAGTAGGGGAACAGATAGACTATCATGGTCTATGAGAGACTGAGAGCAGACTACGTGGCCTTTAGAGTGTGTTTTAAGAGACCGCGGTTTTGGTTTTTGAATGGTGGTGGCTAGGAGTTTTCTTATTTTTTGCATGGATAAAAGAGGAGTTAGGGTCTTAGGAGGCTTCCATTTTTGTGGTAGTTTTGTAGAGGGAAATGATGGGTGGTGGTGATTTTTGTGTTTGAACTTTGAATTGGATTCCGTTTGTTGCTGTTGTTTTGTTTGATGAGGAGGAACTGAAGTAGGTATCAGACTCGGGTTTTGCAGGGTGGATCTCAAGGCAAATCTTAATTTGGGGTAGAGACGTAGAGTTCATGATTGATGCCTTTGTTTTTAGGGTTTTGTGTTGGACTTTGAATTTTTGGGATCAATAACTTAGAAATTGTTCCCAATGGAAATGTGCAGTTCGGATGGTTTGCTTCTTCGACTCGTCTTTCCCATTTACAGAGTTCCATCATCATCACTTCTTAATTACAAATAAAAATAAATGAAAGGAAGAAACTACAATCGAAATCGATTAGAGTGGTAACTTTTTAGCTGAAAAATTTTGGCCAACCTTGTTGGTATATATTCAGAGCAAATCAGTTTTCTTCGTTACAAATGGATCAGAAATTGTTGCATTTATGCTGCATCCACTTAATTCGATCGGGTGAAATTATTCCTGGTTGGCAATTTGATAGGACATGGTTAGCTTAAATTAGTCGGAGGTAATTAGAGTTAAGAGTTCCACCTTTCAATATAATTAATTAATGTAACTGAAGTACAGATTAGTACTTCAAGGGAAAAATTTTTTTTAAAGTATTATAGTAAAGAGAAAAAGAAGAAAACAATTAAATATGAGAGAATTTTTTTCTTTATTATCAGACGGTAAGTATATCTTACGTGTTAA